CATCTCTGCTCATTTCTTCTGGTTATAGTGGAAGATCATCTCATAATCTTGGGCTTTTCTCAGGCTCTGAATCTCAGCTCCCTTCTACCTTCTGAGGGTGAAGGATGGGTGAAGGAGAGGCCTTGTTGCATCTGTCATCTGCTTTTTTTTGGTACTGGGGATCGAACTCGGGTCCTTGTGCTTGCGCAGCAGGCGGCTGTCATCTGCTTCTGCCTGCATCTTTTTCCTCTGCTACTGGCTGCTCTTATTGCTATTTAAATATGTCCGTATCTTTCCTATCTTAAGAGAAGATCGTTAGCACTAAATATTCCCTCTCCAGTAGGGTTTCCTTTATCTCTTATCCCATATTTCCCCTCCCTGTCAAAGGTAAACTTCTTGAGGGAGTGAGGTGCAAGATCTTGACCAGATCCACAAGGCCGGGGAGCTGTCTCCGTCTTTCTGGCCTCATTTCAACTCTTCTCCACCTTCCTGTCTCGATTTTCCCTGCCGAGATGTGCTCTGGGCCTCAGGGTGCTCTGCCTTCTCCCACCTCGAGGGTTTGGCCAGGCTGGTCCCTCTGCGAGGAACACTCTTTTCTCCTTTGATTCATAATGACTCTTCTGGGTGCACTTCAACAATTAGCAGACCATTTTCATTTTATCCAGCCTCCTTTAGGGTTCGGCTGAATAATCACCCTTGTACTACAGACACTTATAAAGGAAAAAGGAAAGAAAAGAGAAAGGGAAAGCATAGATCAAGTGCACAGGCCAGCCTCAGAATAGAGGACACATTCAGGTCTCAACATGCTTTTCCTGGGGAGTCAGGGAGATGACTTTGTTGGAACTTACTTGTGGTGGCTCTTTCCTCAGTTGTGTAGATCCCCATCATTTCATTTTTTTTCTGGTACCAGGAATCGAACTCAGGACCTTGAGCTTGCCAGGCAGGCGCGGCGCCACTGAGCTACATGGTTGTCCCTGATTCCTATCAACAGATCAAAGATATATGGAGGAGAAAATTTGAGCAAAGGTTTGGCTTTTTGTTATCCCACCACGCACCATGTTCATCAGAGCAAAGCCAACTTCTCCCTAATTCCTCTCTCCCAAGGCTTCATGTCAGAGTTTGGGTGGGTGGGAGGCTTATTTCTCATTGGCTTGTTTTCTCTTAACAACCCAAGCAGAAGACAGGAGATCTAGATTTTACTGGTGCAAGTACTGTGTCACATAATAACATCCTAGTGTGGTTTTCCTCCAAAGCACACCTTTAAAAAGGAAGTTTGGCGGAGGAAATCTTTCTGGGACTGGATCCAAAAAGAAGGAATGAGGAAAATGTGACAGAGAAGGGAGAAAAGCCAGCAAAGGATGTGTCAGTAGCTGATTACTGCTATGGACAATTGGGGCTCAATCTTCTAAAGAACAATGAAGAACATGAGTCAGAATTGTCCCACAGAAGGACAAGGAGTCTGGGACATTTATATAACCACTCAGCACTCCACCCTACCACCCCTTATATCCCAGCCACTCCTGTGCTTGGATTAAGTGACTTTCCACGATTGCAGAAAAAGCCAGGAAGCAGAAAAGCAGAGCCTGCCCAGGGTATAAAGTGTAGGAGGACTCAGTCATAAATCTGCCCATCAGAGCAGTTCAGAAATCAGGTGGTGAACATGCTGGGCAAAAGGGAACCTTCGATGTGTGCTGTAAGCAAGATGTTAGCATGGATCTCTTCCCGCTTGGATACACTGTGGTGACAATGTGACAGATATCAGAACTTATGTGACTTTTTTTTTTTTTTTGAGGCAGGGTCTCTCCCTTTGTAGTTCAACTCACTATGTAGCCTAGGCTGCCCTCGAACTTAGTGATCCTCCTGTCTCAGCCTCCCAAGTGCTGGGATTATAGACATGCGCTACCACACCCGGCCTGTGTGACTACTCTTGAAGGGCCCTCGTCCACGAAGGAAGGGTTGAGAGAGAGCAATTGGGAGATACTTTTTGGGAATAGTTGTTGCCTTATTATGAGTTCCCACATCTTCTCCAAAGGTAAGTGATGTTACCTCTGACCACAAGGTAGATGAGGGAGACTTTGAGAACATTAGGGAGCTAGGCATGGTGGTTCAAGCCTGTAATCCCAGCACTCTAGGAGTGCCTACCTCAAAATAAAAAATTGTAAAGGGCTTGGGGATTGTGGCTCCTTGTGAAGGCCTCGGGTTCAATCTCAGTACCAGAAGATGAAGAGAAAAATAAAAAGAAAGAGATAGAAGAAGAAGGAGGAGGAGGAGGGAGAGGAGGAGGAGGAAGAGGAAGGAAAGAGGAGGAGGAGAACAAAGAAGAGAAGAAGGAGGAGGAGAATAAAAAAAAGAGAAAGAGAAGGAGGAGAGTGGAGGACAAAGATGATGATGATGATATGATGACACTAGGGGAGTTCTGGGATGTGTACCTAGGAGCCTAAAATGGGTCTTATAAAACTGATAGTGGACTAAGATCTGACTCCAACTAGGAAGCCAGTAGCATCGAGCCATGCCATAAACAGAGAATGTGTGAGGACAAGGAAGGCTCGTGGTGGGAGACTGAGGGCTACCTGTGGGACCGGCCTGGGTGGTTGTCCTGCGTGTTGTACAATGAGGGCAGTGGGAGAGGGAGGAGTGGGGACTGAAGGTGTGTGGCTGGACATCCAGGGACTGGTGGCAGGGTTACAGAGTGCAAAGGCACTTAGCCAGGTGCTGACAGCTGATCACCTGTGGCCCTCCCCGTCCTTCTAGAGAGGGAACCTGTGCTGAGGAGATGGTGGAGAGGCGACACCAGGGAGGAGAGCAGAGAGACCTCCCATCCCCAACTGCAGGCTCCCAGCCCCGACCAGATCCCAGCCAGGGGAAGGGGAGGTTATATGACTGTAAATTAAACTTGGGATTGTATATATTCCATGGGACAGGGAGTTCTCATTGGTCAATAGACACCAGGAACCAAGGCCCTCGTTCCCTTCCTGGGGAGGGGAAGGCTGCAGAGAGTGAGATCCAAGGGGCAGAGAAAGACAGAGATGAAGCTGCACCTGGAGAGCAATTCCTGAGGTAGAACCAGGCTTAGACTCGCAAACCACGCTCTGAGAAATGACTCCCTCCACACTGGACTAGGAGGACCAGCGAGGACTAGGGGTGGCAATCATTTTTCTCCTGGTTAAGCATATTTATGGAGACAAATTTAATCTGCGTGCAGGACCTTTCTGGCTGTCAGGCTACTCACTCTGGGAGCCATGGAGGTTCCCCTCAGCTCTCCCGTCAAGAGAAAACTTATCTTCAGCTGCAAGAGGCACCGTGACTGAGCGTCTCCACACAGTCACGAGCCACATTCTTCCCGGCAGGCCCAGCCAATAAAGACACCCAGTGTGGCAGTCATCACCTGGGTATTCCTCACAGGGAGCACCTCATGCCTGGATGTTTCTCCCCTACACAGGCCTCTTGTGCTGGGCAGACTTCATGCCAGAGCTCCTTGTGAGTTGGCAGCCTTGGTGGGATCTGCATCGTGGTCTGAAGCTCTCCCTCCTTCCTTGCCTGTTAATCTGTGACAAGCAGAATGCCCCTACCACACACACAAACACACACCCTGCATAAGCCTCTTACACTCCTAACGCCAGCATCTGTTGCTCAGAGTATCTAACAGGTACATTTACCTTTTCAACTCTGAACACTGTGCCCATGACCTTGTTTTCTTTTTAAAAATTCTTTGCTGTAATTTTATTTTTTTAGATGACAAAAATCTTGTAGACATTTACTATGTACAACATGTTGTTTTAAAATATGTATCCATCGTGAAATGGCTAAATCAAGCTAATTGACCTAGAAATTACTTTGCATACTTATTTTTTTGCATACTTATTCTTTGTGGTATGAACATTTGAAATCCATTCTCAGCAATTTTTAAGAATACTATACATTGGGGCTGGGGATTTAGCTCAGTGGTTTTGCCCCTGCTGCGCAAGCTCAACGACCTGGGTTCGATCCCCGGTACCAAAAAAAATAAAAAGAAAAGAAGAATACTGTACATTAACTCTTGTCGCCATGTTGTACAATAGAACTCTTGAACTTATTTCTCCTAAAATTCTGTGTCCTATGACAGTCTCCCCACCCACCCATCCATTCCCCATTCCTAGAGACCACCTGTTGTGTGAGTTTAACTTTTTAGGTCCCACACTGAAGTGAGAACATGTGGTGTTTATCTTTCTGTGCCTAATTTGGTTCACTTAACAATGTCCTCTGAGTTCATCTATGTTGGTACAAATGACAGGATGTCTTTCTTTCTAAGGCTGAATAGTACTCCACTGTGTGTATGTACTGCATTTTCTTTATCTGTTCATCCATCGATGGATGCTTAGGTTGGTCTCGTATCTCGGCCATAGTGAATAGTGCTGCAGTGAATCTGGGCATGCAGACATCTCTTCAACATACTGATTTCATTTCCTTTGGCTACAAGCCAGATAGTGATATTGGTAGATCTAATTTTATTTTTTTAAATAAATAGGAAGACTAATACAAAAAGTTTCATACTTAAGCTGAAACCTGATCTACTTTTAAAAAATAAACTCCTAATCCCTGATTGGATTAGGATACTCATAAACTGAACTGTAAGGCTACCTATCTCTCTTCTACACTTAGCAGATCCTATTCATCTTTGAGGTCTTGGCCTAAATATCATTTTTTCTTAATAGCTTTCCTTCAATCCTCCTAACTCCAACTTTGCTACATCTTCTTGTTATAGGCTCTTCCAATTTCCCTTTGGTGAGACTCATCATGTTTGTTGTTATTTGTTCAAGGTCAATTGTCAGCTCCATATCAGCTACATAAAGTTATGATCTAAATCGCTGTCAACTACCGAGCACTTAAGAGACTGTGTGGGCTATAGAAGCTGCTCAATAACCACTTGATCAAGTGCTAGATTTTTTAACCTAAAGTTATAAAATGTTGGCACAGGACCGGAGCTGTGTCTGCCTCTAGTGTGTCCTTGGTCTTGACACACCACTCTTGTTTCCTCATCACAGCACAGACTCAGAGACTTCAGTATTAGAAGAAATGTAAAGATTATCCAGCCTGTGGATCCATCAGATGCCAGAGACACTGCGGACTACCCAATCAAGTGATTGACCAGTCTTAGCTTGAAGACCAGGGACAGAAGCTACCTCTACCTCCCAAGGCAACCCACTGATCCTGGCCAGCTCTGACTGTCAGCAAGTCTTTTCTTACCCTGATATTCTTCAGTCTCTTCCTGAATCTGACTGCCTATAACTATATTAACAACCTAGATCAACCTTGGTCCAAATTGCCTATTTAGGGCCGGGGATTTAGCTCAGTGGCTCCACCACCTGCCTCGAAAGTACAAGGTCCCGAGTTTGATCCCTGGTACCAAAAAATAAAAATAAAAAAGATGCTACTGAAGGCAAGAAAATCTAGAATCCTGCCATAGTCCTCTTTCTCTTAAAAACAAAAAACAAAAAACAAAAAAACAAATTGCCTAAAGAGAATCAGCCCTCCCCCATAGTATCTCAAATGGAAACATAACTGGCTTCCTTCATCCACCCATTCTAAAGACATCAATTAAGTGCTTACCTGTGTCTTGCAGGGGCTCAGCAACAGTGATATCTATGAAAGAGGAAATAAGAGGTGGAAGGAGATAAAAGTGTTTACAAGATCAAGTAATCATAGCAACATAGGAACTATGAGAGAGAGCTGTGGGAGAGCATGCTGTAGCCAAACAGCAAGTGAGGGAGTATTTTAAGAGATTGGGGCTTGGGGGGGGTCAGGGGAAGGAGTTTAAGAAAGTCATTAGGAAATGGGATTTGAGCTGAGCGCGGTAGATGGGCAACACGAGTCAGGGGAAACGCCATCTTGACACCCAGGCTCACAGAGAGAACTCTTTCCACAAGGCACAGGGAGGGGACTAATGAGGATGGAGGAAGTAAGGCTGAACATTATTTCCCTCTCCGCAGGACTGGTCGGCAGTCCTAGGAGCCTCGTACCAGCTTGTCTTCACCTCAACCTGGAGGGCTGACCACATCACCCTTCCAGGCCTGGGCTGCCGACATGGTGACCCTTCCTTGGCTGTTCCTTCTCCTGCTGCTCCAGGAAGGTGAGTGACTGTTTGCTCCTGCATAGGACTGTCTTCTGCTCCTGTACTTCTTCTGTTCTGCTGGATCCTGGAGCCCTTGCTTTGGGGCTGAACATGTCATCTTTCCTGTGATGTGAGGAACAGCATATGGCTTCAGGGGAGGATCAAGAGAAGAGGATATCTGGGGATATGGGAGAGGGAAAGGTTCCAGGGTGGCAAAGGCCAGCGTAAAATTTGGAGGGTGAAGAGACAGATGGAATCCAAACCCTGTAGGTCCTCAGCTCAGGTGCAATGGAAATCTAGAGCCAGAAGTGGCATCTGGAGGCTGCCTCACATAGCTCAGCTGCTAGGCTCAGCAGCCCAGAGACACCAGCTGGGATATTTCTCTTTTCTTCTTACATTTGCAGCCAAAGCATACTCTGGAGATGGTGTGGAGCCTGAGGAAGTAGTTGCAGCCCTTCAGGAGTCCATCAGCCTCCCCCTGGAAATAATACCTGATGAAGAAGTTGACAGCATTGTCTGGTTCTCCCGGAAAAGACTTGCCACAGTGGTGCCAGGGAAAGGATGTCCAAGTAGTGTCATGATGGTTGACCCTCACTACGAGGGCCGAGTGAGCTTTGGGGACCCCAGCTACTCTCTGCACATCAGCAATGTGAGCTGGGAGGACGCAGGGCCTTACCAGGCTCAAGTCAATCTGCGGACATCCCAGCTCTCTACCACAACACACTACAACCTACGCGTCTACCGTGAGTTTACACTGGGGGAACCATAAAGGCTGGCTTGTTCTAGGTCTCCTAAGTTTCCTGTGCCATGGAGCAGGGGTCTTAGGACCCAGAATTATGGTGTGAGGAGCTAGGATTGGAAGGCAGATGGTCTCCAGTGTGCCCAGCTGGTATCTGAGCTTAGCAGCAGGTACGGTGAGGTAGAGTAAGGAAGCATTGGGCACTGGGCACTAGGCTGTTCCCGTGGAGGTGCCCAATCAGAGAGAGGGATGAGGGCTTTGTGTATAGACTTCTAAGAGAACTTTCTGTCCCTGTAAGATTGTGAGTCCTAGAGATGAACACCATCTCCATTCCTGAGTCTTTCCTCCCCTTGTGCCATTTGAGGGTTAGTTATCAATATCTTCCATCAACTTAAAACTAAAGTCTTTGTGCCCATCACATCAAATCTTCCTTGAATCTTAAAGAGACATCGATTAAAATATAAATGGCCTTGGGAGGCATAGTAACATTTTGTGGGATCAAGGAAGCAGAAGAGGGCTTGGGAGAAGATGAGGTACAAAAGTAAGGGAGAGAAAGAATAAAGGAGAGAAGATGCCAAGGGCAGCTCTATCACCTTAGCAGGTGCCCTGGGTACCTTGGAATCAAAAGTGTTATGGGCTAGTGTGTGTTTTGTTTTGCTGATTTGTTGTTTAGGTGAAGAGGCCCTCAAAGCAGCACCAGTAGCCAAGGGTGGAGGAGTTTAGAAGAACAGACTTAATTCCTGGCCTATTCAGTGGCTCTTTGTGTTTCTCTCCATCTAGGATGACTGTCACAGCCCCGAATTGCTGTGAACTTTGAGATCCCTGGGGGAGGTGCCTGTAATAGATCCCTGGCATGCTCTGTGGAGAGAGCAGGCGCAGATGTCACCTATAGCTGGCTCACCTTGGGGGACAGTGCTGGCGCAGCCCGGGAAGGGTCTGGCCTCAGCACATCGTGGAGGCCTGGGGACAAAGCCCTTTCCTACACCTGCAGGGCTAGCAACCCCATCAGCAGCATCATTTCCCATCCCATCGCAGTTGGGTCCTTCTGTGCAGGTAGCAGAGCCCCAGAGCAGCCCCTGAGCTCATGAGACCTGGGCGCCAGGCACCTGCTCTCCCTACCCCAGCTCTTCTTAGGAGCATGTGGAGTCCAGAGCCTAACCACCTTTCACACAGGCTTCACACCTGGCTTGGGGAGGGGACCAATCTCCCAAAATTCTCTTCTCTTTCTTGGCTTAAGTATGCTCCCAACTCAATTCCCGAGCTTCTTGGTGTAGAGTATGTTTCCAGAGATAAAGACATCAACTGAGTGTGAGAGCCCCTTTGTGGAATTTGGGTAGCTGTCTGTCCCCAACCTTAACTTATTGCTCCCTCTGAAGAGCCCCTTTCCTCCCCTCTTCTTTCCCAGATCCCGGCTACCCTGAGACTCCCTCAGTGTCCTCCTGCCTCCTAGCCAAGGGATTGCTTCTTCTCGTGCTCTTGACAAGTCTGGCCGTGGGGCTCTGGGTCACCCGAGTTCAAAAAAAAGTGAAGTGCCAAGGACAAGGAGGCTCAAGAGGAACAGAATTAAACTGAGGAAGAAGGGGAAGCCTGGCTTCAGCCCAGCCTGACTGCCCTTTGGGAACCTCCATCTTGAGTTTTGCCTCTTCCTGGCCCACAGAGGGTCAAAGTTAAGTGCCCTCTGCCTAAAGGAGCTGTGTCTGTTCCTCATCTCACTGGGCAACTCTGGCAGATCCTGCTCCCTCCCTTCTCCCGGCCCAGCACCCATCTCCAAGCCCACAGCTTTTTTAGGCCTGCCTTGTGGGGGCAGAGTGAGTGTAAGGACCCACTCAGAGTGAGGTAGGTTTTGCCCTTACTACACCCATGCCATACTCACCATGTACTAAACTATGTATTTTAAAGGAGACCAGTGAATGAGTCTTCTTAACCTAATTAAACTTGCAAGTCTTAAATGGGAGAATTTCAGCCCCTTGACTTCTGCATAAAAGAGATATTGTTCCTGAGACCCTTCTGCTCTTCTGCTCCCATTCTCACTCTGGTGGATAAATTTATTTAACGACTACACCTACCCCACCCTGGTCTAGAAGCCATCCCAGGGAGTTGGGAAGGATCCTACCTAGTTCAGTCCTGCTCTGGGTCAAAGTCTAACCTGGTGGCCTCTCATCTCCCTGACACTAGCTGTTTCAGGTCTCTGGTGTCTACCCCAAGAGAGTGACAACTCTCCTGGATCAGTAGCTGAGATCTTGAACCCTTGACACCTGTTTGTGGTTGATACTGCTGTCCTATCTGTCCCTTTTCTGTAGATTTCCATATCTCAGGTTTCTCCCTGGAATTTTATCTTGGGCTAATGTCTGCTCTCTACCCCTGACACATGCCCTCAAGTTCATGTTCTTACTCTTTCCCTCAGCCAGTGATTAAAACTAATTCCTCCCCCAGCCTCGTGTGCCCCTGCCCGTCTTCAGACTTCTGGATCTCACACTTATGTAGCTGCCAATGGGAAGGGAAGGTGGAAGCCACTTAAGTAAAAGACCATGTAGCAGAGGTGTTGGACGATATGGTGGGAGGGAACTGGGTGAGATCTCAGGAGATCCGGCTTTTCCCTGCCACTTGTCTCTGGCCTGGAATGTTGTGTTTAGTGAACATCTGTTGAGCCACCGGCCACTTCCACAAGGAGCATGTGCTTAAAAGAAAAGGCACACACAGGTGCCACTGCTCGGAGCTCTCACAGAGATGCAGCCCCACAAGCCCCTTGGCTCCCATCAAGGTGGGCTGGGCTGGGAATGTTGAGAATTCCAAGGGGTAGGCAGAGGGCCACGTGGTGGGAGACATGGCTGACATTTCTCGGACCTTCCTCTTCCCCTCTTGTTTCTGAGGGGAAGGATGCTGATCTCCAAAGTGTCTTCCAAGAAAAGGCATGTGAGCCTGCAAAGGGTGCAGGAAGATGCATTGGAGAACCACAGTGACCAGGACACTTTGTTTTTAGCAAAGTAGGACTTGTGGGCCAGGCACTAGAACAACACAGTAGGAAGCTCTGAGAGCAGAATAGGGCAGGGCTGGAAGGCAAGAGACAGAGTCTCCCTAGGTATCTGTGCAGGAGACGGAGCCCCTTGGGCTTGGGTGAGAGGTGATGAAGTTGGAACCAGTCCCCAAAACACTAAGACTAGCAAATGGACCCACCCTACTCCATAAGGGCCAGAGCCTGGTCCCTCTGGAAGGCATCTCTACCTAGGCTGAGGCTGGCTCTCTGTGCCTCCCTTAGCCCCTAAGCAGTCTTGCCACTAAAAAGATCTATAGACCCCATAGCCTCTGGCTCCTTTTACACCTTCCCCAGGAGGCATCACTCCAGGGCTACAGGCAACATACCTGGAGAAACAATCACCTGGACTCCACCTTACACACAGGCCACCTGTCCAGTTCTCATGTGTTTCAGAATCTGGTCCCCAGAAAGTAAATGAAGGAACGGATGGCCCCTGCGTGGCTGGCCTAGGATCTTCCTGGAGCTGGCAGTCTCTTCTCACATTCAGGCTCTGAACAGAGAAGGGAGTCTACACAGTCCAGAACAGCTGGAAAACGGAAGTGGAGACCCCAAAAAGGTTGCATATAAGAAAGGTCCCAGCCTCTTTCTCTGCTAGAAGCCAGGATAATCATCATCTGATAATCACTTTGCAGGTTGCAAATCCTCCTCAGTGTTTGAAGTAGGTGACAAGAAACTTGGGGAAGGGAATACTATTTAAGCACCTACTAAGCGTCAGGAACTGGGCCAGCCCCGGAGAGACAGAATACCCATTGCCTGCCCTCAAGGAACTCTGTGGTGAGTGTAAGGATACAATTACAAGATGTGGTCAGGGATGAGGGTGAAATGCAGCATGGTGGGAGGCGTCAGGAAAGGTGTCCTGGAGGGAACAAAGAGGTCAGTAGAGGTAACTCTGATCTGTGTTCAGGAGGGAGCCCAGAGAAAGAGGAAAAGGGGGAAAAGGTACTTTAGCCGGACAGAAGGTAAGTGCTAAAACACTAATGTGTAACTCTACGCCACACACTGTGATAAAATGATCAGTGCCTATCCGCGCCAGAGAGACAGGCAGCAGCTCTTCCAATATACTCTGGGATCTGGGGAAATTAGAGATGACAAGATCCACTCCCTCATGGAGCTTAGTGTCTCATCAGGACAGAAGACAGATACACAAAACGTTAACAGCAGTATGAGAGACCATGCTTCTTTTTTAATACGGTAAGAGGGCCAGTGTTCATGGTCAAGAGAGTCCCCGGAATTACCATTTCTGATATTCTTGCCAGCAAGTTGAAACTGTACGGGCTGGCTGATACTTAGGTTAAGCGGCCTAGTTAGTTGAATAAACTTTCCCAGAGAGAAATGACTATGGTCAAGGAAATGGAAGAGGAAAATCTTCAGGTTAGAACTTTTGGGACTATTTTTATCAACTTTCACTTCTAGGGTGGTGAGGGAACAAGTTATGGGGCTAGGTTCCTTTTCTTACCGAAAAAACAAAAAAAAACCAACAAAAACCCCAAACCACCATGGTACAAGATACATTTTAATCAGTTGAAAATGACAATAATAATAAAACTTATAAAATAAGCTTCTAAAAAATGAACATATGTAAATTTTAAAAAATTGAAGACCATTTCAAATCTCGCTTTACAAAAAGTTATTTTAATGTCCAAATGAGATTAGCTTTCAAAAACCACAAAGAGCAGAAATGAAACTTTTGGATCAGAGGTGGGGCCGATTCTCGAATGGGGAAGGGACATCTGTCCGTAGGTTGCCGAGGAGCGAAGAAGTCAGAAAGGCTCCCCTCAGACTAACTTTTCTACCTTGCCTTGGTGTGGTGCCCACTCACCAGTCGGCACTGTAGTCTCATCACCTGTGAGGGCAGCGTAATTCCGGGACACTGGAGCGCAGTGTGTGGAGATGCTACTTTGGGAACCTCGGCTGGAGGGGTGCCAGGAGAGGCCTCACCCCTGCTCCTGCCTCTGCTCCCCAGCTGCTCTAGCATTCAACCCGTGACAAAGGGCAGCCGGACGTTTATAGCTGGAGGAAGCGCCATTCCAGCAGTCAGAGCCTACTAAGGATGGAGTGCCCACCGCAGGAAGGCTGGGCTTCCCGGCCCAGGCTGTGCTAGAGGGACATCCCGATAGGGCTTCTGGTGCAAAGCGCTGTTCACAGCCACCCTGACCTTGCAGGATGATTCCACGAATTAGAGGCCTGGCACACCCGGTGTGAGTCCATAGTGTTTCAGACTCAGGTGAGAGCAAGGAAAGCTTCCAGAGGAACCAATGAGATGGGAAGGACCTGGGCAGGCAACAGCTCGTTAAGCCTTGTGGGGAAGGCAAATAACCGTTCCTCCTGAGCAGTACCAAGCTGAGGAAGTGGAAATCTCCGAGGGGCAGATAGGCAAGATATCTTTTTGCCCAGAAGGGGGGTTGGGGGAGGTCCAGTAGGGTGTGAATGCAGCTCTGCGTGGGTGGAGGAGGAAAATCTGTTTTCAAATGGAACTAAACTTACTTTTCAGGGGTTCTGTGTAGATTCCTAAGAGTTTTAAGTCCAGGGTCTCGCACCCTCCAGGGGTTCAGCAACAGCTCATGTATTTCACCCCTCTCCTTTCAATCTCCGTTGTCGGGACGCCTGCCATCTCCCCCCACCCCCACCCCGGGCTGTTTCTCTGGGCGTGGGGCTCTGCCAGGGGAGCTGACTTGGCACCTCAAACTCAGAGCAGCCTCCTCCAAGCGCACACACGGGAGGCGCCAGGCCAGATCTGGGAGCTCGCCAGCACAGACAGGTATTTCCAGTCCGGCAAGTGAGGAAAAGGGTGGAGGTGGGGATGGGGATGGTGTAGGAGATCGGATGAGCCCTGGACCTGGGTGGATCCCAGGGGAGGAGGGCAGAGAAGCCTGCTGCTCCCTGGTGCCTGGTGCTCCCGTGCCCGGTTCAGATTTCAGTCCTGGATGCCGCCTCTGTCGCTCGCCCTACAGTGAGGGGAGAGAATCGAAGGTGGGTTACCAAGCAAGCGGGGCTTGCGCGGCGTCTGCAAAGGGACGGGCTCCTGCGGCAGCGTCCGGACCCGGCAGCTCTCGTGGCGCTTCCCACGCTCGGTTGTGTAGAGCTCCACGAGGGGGCGACCTGAGCCCACGTGCCACCGAGTCCTTCTCTCCTGAAACTACAACTCCCAGGCGGCGCGGGGGTCCCGCCCGCCTCTCTAGGCCTCGGCTGGCTGCAATTGGCCGCCGCGGGAGGGGCCCCGGCCATCTCCAGGGCGACGGGAGGCGCTCGGGGCATCCGCGGCTGGAGGCGGTTCCGCCCCCTATTGTGTAGCTGAGAGCGCGGAGCGAGCGGTACGGAGCAGGTGAGCCCGAGGGCGTCCTGGGGTAGAAGTGGGGTTCGGCGGGGGCGTGGGGAGCAGTGGGACTTGGGACGGGGGGCGCGAGGGGAGCTCTGGAAAGAAGTGGGGCTCTTTGGGGAGCAGAACTAGGGGAGTTCTGGGGAGTGCAGTGGGATTCTTGGGTGGGTGAGGGGATCCCCGGACTGGAGGAGTTCTGGAGGTAATGTGGGGGAGTTCTTGGTGGGTTCCAAAAGAGAGGAGGAGTTCCAGGAGGTCAGAGAACAGGGGGTAGAGTATCAAGTGCATTATGGGCTCAGGCGGGCGAATTCTGGGGATGGCAATTCCCGGGAGCCCGAGGATGGGGCGAAGGGGGTGGTCTGGAGGGAGGCACCAGCAGGGCAGAGGACCTGCTGCACTGGAGATCAGGTGAGAGAAGGTGGAATTTGGGGGAGGGAGGGACAGAGACGAGTGGGAATGATGAGGATGGGAATCATCGGGAGAATGAAGGCGGGCTGGTGTGGAGGCTGGAAAGGAGAGGAAATGGTGGGGCCTGTGGAGTTGAAAAGGTCCTAGGAGAAGCGGGGAATTCTGGGGATGCGTGGGTCACAAGGTTCCTGGCAGACTGAGCCAGGGGAGAGCTGAGGAGTCCTATACTGTGCACTCAGAAAGAAGGCTTTTAGGGAAGTTCGGGTGAGCTAGCTGGGGCAGGGGAGATGGTTGCTGGTGAATTGCCAGGAGTGGGGTATAAAAGGGCATTAAGTAGAGGATGTTTTTACAGCCAGCGCTGGACTGTGAGGCCAGGGGTGGGGTGGAGGCCCCAGAGCAGAGTCCACTTGGTTCTGCGAGGCCTGGGCAGGGCCATCTGGCTCACTATGACCGTCCTAGGGCCTGGGGCCGGGCTGGACAGCGTTCCTACCTTCCGTGCTCAGCGTTCATTTTGTGTGTCCTAGGGACTTACAGGCATCATTGGCTTCTGGCTCATGCTCCCCGGGTTGGGGAAGGGAGGGTCTGGCAAACCTGGCACCCTGAAGATATTGGAGATGAGCGAGTGGGAGAAATGGGAATAAGGCGCTTAGATTGTGGTGCCTGGCAGATGAAGGGCTGCCTAGAAGCTTCATGAAGAGGAAGAGCAGCAGCTGCCAGCCTCAGGACCTGCCCAGACCTGGAGTGTGCTGCCTGGGCCACCCATTCGATAGGTGGAGAGGCAGCCCTCCTTTCCTGAGGCCGGGCTCACTCATTGTCAAACCAGTATTGGGAGGCCAAGCAGAGAAAGAAGCCACAGGGTACCCAGCCTCCAGGCCCCTCACAGGCAAGAAATAGGGTCAGGGATTTGGAGGATGCCTGGGGGCCTCTTCCTGGGGGGAAAGGGAGTCTAGATTCTAATCCATCGCTTGCTCCAGCAAAGAGCCTCAGAGTCTTTGTCACATGGTGGGTGTGAAGGGGCACCATAACACTGATTCTGGCTTTCTGTCTGCCACCTTGAGTAAGGAAAGAGGCTGGACCATGAGAGTCTTAATCATCCATATTTCCCTGAAAAATCTTTTTCCCAGTGTGTGAGGAACCTCCAGTTCTCTCCTGGCTCAGTTTGCCGAGGGCATTATAGCTGAGGCATTCCCAGATTTCCCCTGCTTTTCCTAGGATCTTTCCACTACTGACTACACCATTTCTTCTGCATAGTCTCCCTGCCAGCACACTCTCCATTCTCCAAGTACTTCCATCTCAGCTTAATCCCAGGGCTTAAAGATTTCCGGTCTTGGGGCTGAGGGTGTAGCTCAGCAGTAGCATGCTTGCCTAGCATGCACAAGGCCCTAGGTTTGATCTCAGGTGTCTTTGCAGGTGTCCCCCCCCCCCCCTTACTGCTCTCCTTTCTCCTTTTCCCCATAGTGCCTGTCTCTGACTATGAGTTTTCTTCTGGGCTGCACTATTGACCAACTCTGCATGTTGCTTTGCATTTTGCATTTAGATCTGGTGATTCTCCACAGAACAGCTTCCTCGTGTGTTACATGAGCTAAACCCTAACTGTGCAGAGGACTGACAGCTGAACCCTGTTGCCTGAGGCTGATCAGAAGGATTGACCCTGGGCTCGCTGGGCAGCGGACATCCCTCGGCCCCTCCATTTAGGCTCCTGTGGCTGGGAGGGGCCGGGTGAGCAGGCCAGCTGGGCTATGGTTTGGTCCCTCAGCCTGGCCATCCTCAGCCTGATCATCAGCCAGGGGGCTGACGGTGAGCCGGACCCCTGGGTTCCAGAACAGCAGCTTGGGGTGTGGGGCATTTCCCCAGGGCTTCTCTGTGAGCATGAGGGGAGGGGAGGACTAGGGCTGGTTCTGGAGAAGTGAGGTGCTGATGCAGCCTCCCCTCCAGCTCTCACTCTGGCCCTTGCTGTGCCCTCATACCACCCACCATGCAGGTCGAAGGAAGCCTGAGGTGGTCTCTGTGGTGGGCCGTGCTGGGGAGAGTGCAGTGCTGGGCTGTGACCTGCTACCCCCAGCTGGCCACCCCCCTCTGCATGTCATCGAGTGGCTGCGCTTTGGATTCCTGCTTCCCATCTTCATCCAGTTTGGCCTGTACTCTCCCCGAATTGACCCTGATTATGTGGGTAAGCGTTGTCCTGCTGGGAGGGAGGGCTGGGTAGGGTGTAAAGCCTCTGATTAACTGCTCTACCCTGCCCTAGGCTCATCGCCAGCTCCACTGCCCTAACTGTGCTTACCAAGCATGGCTGTGTTCTCAAGCAGTGTTATTTCACGAGACAAGTCAGTCACTAACACGTGCAGACACGGCAGCTGTGCTATTTAGAACTCCACATGGTCTGTTCCAAAGATCTTGGACCTCTTCTTCCTCTTCTCCTTCTCCTTCTTCTTTTTTTCCTTTGATACTGGGGATTGAACCCATGGCCTTCATACTGAGCCACCTCCCTAGCCCTTTTATAAACTTTTTTATTTTGAGACAGGGTCTTTTTAAGTTATTGAACTACCCAGGCTGGGCTCCAACTTGCAGTCCTCCTGCCTCAGCCTCCAAGAGTACTTGCATTAGAGGCATGCACCGCCTCGCCCGGCCTTTTGACCTAACCCTGCGTCTATCCTAAATCTAATCACTCATTCTAGACCTTATCATGCAGCCTCCCAGACCCCATTCCGATTTTCCATAGTCTCCATACCTGGCGCTATCCATACCTGGCATGATCCTGTCCCTGGGTCTACTGTCTGCTGGCTCCCCTGCCCTCCCTTCACCTGCTCTCCGACGTGTGAGATCCCAGGCCCGTAGGGAATGGGCTGAAGGGTGATAAGGGCTGGTTGGGGCTGCAACTTGTGCGCTTCTGTAGTTGGGGCTCAGCCTGATTCTGAGAAGAGCATGGGCACAGAGAGGGCAGGCTGCAGGTGACCCTGGTTTCCCAAAGGTACGAGTGTGAATGGGGCTCACTGGGTTGCTGGTTCAGGCATCTCATGTGTGGAAGTAGAGAAGTTTATAGGAGGGCCCCTGAAGCCTTCTGCTGTAGCCCAGCTGGCTCCCTTGGATGGCCCAGCTGGCTCCTAATCCTGAAAGGAGCCTTAATCCTGAGTGCCAGGTGTCAGGAGCCTGTTGGGAGTCCTAAGGATGGATATAGGCCACTGGGCAAGAGAGGACCTTGTCATCTCCCCGGGTGAGGGGAAACTCGGGAAAGGCCACCTGGGAGGATGGAGATGGAGGAGCCCCACCTTTCCCCTGTAGTTTGAATCCTGAGGGAAGCCTGGATTGGCTGGGCTCTGGCCACAGGGCGGGCTGAGCAGAGGGGAGGAAGCACGGGCAGGTGCCTCTGAGGGGGAGGGTTTATTTTCAAACTAGGGGCAGTTATTGGCAAACAGCCTGGTGGGAGGTTATCTGCCGACACAGGCCCTGGGGGACTTGGTCGAGGCAGGCCTCAATTAGCACAAGTGGAGGAAAGAAAAGGCTATGCCCACCAGCCCTCCCTCCCTACTCTGCATGCCTGAGCCTGGGAGGGGTTTAGGCTGCCGCTGCTGTGGGCTGTGGGCTGCAGGCTGAGGCAGACAGATCCAGAGTGCCTTTGATGAGGGCGAGGCCCGAGGAGGCAGGAGAGGGCCCTTCCTGGGACTTCACCTGGGAGGTGCAGAGCTCTTTGCCTTCTTTCCAGCTCTGACCCATCTTGGGGACCCCAGGCAGACAATCACTGGATGGCTAGCAATGCTACCGTGTACCTGTGGGTTTCCTTATGTCTCTGCTGTTCCTTGAGCTGCCAGCACCATGAGCCTTTGGGGCTTCACTGCCCTTTGTTCCCACTCCTGCTCCTCTCCACTCTGGAGCTCCTGGTCAACCAGAGCTGGCTCAGGGAGTAAGGACCCCCGAAGGAGGCCCCTGAGCCCATTAACCCTTTTACTGCCTCACAGTGGAAGGAGCCTCTCTGCCTTTGTGTAGGGGACTTAGAACTGCAGTTGCTAAGCAACGGGAGGTGGAGGTTGCTAAGGACAATGTTGTGTCATAAACCCTCTGGGCAAGTGCAGGAGAGATGGGCCTGGGACTGTGCAGCAGGCTGTTGGCCTAGAATGTATGAGACTTGAGAGAGAGTAGAGTGTGTGGAAAGGCAAGCAAGCTTCCAGTCTTGGAGGGCTCTATAAGCCATCTAGTAGCAGAGACTGGGTTTATAAACTAGTACAAAAGTAGTAGAAAGCAGTATAAAATGAGCGAGGACTCAGAGTATGATTAAATTAGCTACCCTATGTAAAGTGCCCTGCATGGTGCCTGTAGACCAGGCGTGGGAGAAAGGCAGGCTGAGCTTTGTCTCCACCAGCTTTCCTCAGATGGATCTTAGACCAGCTCTTTGTATCTACAGAGTGGGCTTTTGGCCCTGTGTGCTCCATTTCCTGAGAGTTTCAAGGTGCCCTACAACCGAAGGGACATACATTCTCTCACTGCTGAGTTGTTTGATAAAAATCAGTTATTCCGTTCACCGTTTAGAATTCCCCTGCTCACTCTAGTCATTGCCCCTTACTGGCTTTTATCTCTCAAAAGCCTCTGCTGGTTATATCTTCCCAGAAGCCTCTACTCCTTTTGCTTTACAATGCAATGTCTGGGCACAGTTGGTGCCGTGGTTTGAATTTCTCTGTGTGTGGACATACACTTGCCAGTGTATGAGCATGGCATTTCCTGCCTTCGGGGAGCCTGTCTCTTTCACAGCCCCTACTTGGAGGAAGATCTGAAATCCCTCGGGATTGGCCCTGCAGGTAGAGGGCGGACGTCCAGGAGGTGGCCCCAGTGCTGCTGTCCCTGGCCCCCTCCCTCCTCCTCTGTGACACGGCAGGCCCAGCTGTCCTGCAGATCTCCCGGGAAAGTTAGGACATGCCGTGTGCTGCGTTGATACTCTGCATGGAAAGGTTTGGGACTGTTGGACATTGGCTCCCAACATTTCCCAAGCGAGAATGTACGGATTATGCTCGGCGACCTGAATGTCGCTCACTCCTAACACCAGTGCTCCATGAAAAGAATGCATTGCATATTGAGATGGAGGCCTGGCTCTGTCATTTACTAGCTATGAGATTTTGGAAGGAAACTTAACATCGATTCCTTCATCTTTAATGGAATTCTTGGGTGGATTAAATATGGTGACAATGTCAAATATTACATGGCCCATCTTCAGCACTTAATCCTTTTCCCTCTTCTTCCATTGTACTAGCGCTCTAAGATCCCCATGATGAAAAGTTACCATCACAAGGGGCATGGAGGGGTGGAGCCTGGGGTCTGCAGGGCTCTGGCCAGGCAGATTAGTTATTGAGGAACCCTGTTGGTGGGTTGAAGGGTATGATTATGTTAAATATTTACCTGCTAGGTGTAGTTTTATCTCCTGGGTGGGGATTTAAACACCTAGTCCTTTAAGCAGGTCCACCCATCCTAAGGAACCCACACCCTGGGAACTCATTCTTGGAAAAGACCCTTACGAAGATCACGAGCCAGCCTCAGCTTGGTGGTTCTCCCTTTCCTCCTTGTGGCATCAGGGGCACTGCAGGCTGAGCTTCTACTTTAGGCAGCTCCCTGGAGGTGGAATGGAAGCAGATGGAGGGTGGGTGCACCAACAAGTTCAGGATTTCTACTGTTAGGAGGGACTGGGGCGGGCACAATGGGAAGGGACTTGTCTAGGAGCTGCATGTGCATACCCCACAAAGTTTGGAAAATACGTCTGTCCACATCATGGGTCAAGGTGGACGTAAGTAGCTGGTGAGTTCAGAAGGGAGTAAGTAGGCTGAGGATCCAGGTGAGAGATAGGACAGGAGGCCTCAGAATGGAGATGATAGGGAAGGGAAGGAAAATATTTAAGGGGTAGGATTTGGAAGATTTAATGAGCAAGTGCCTGTGGGGGTGACAGGAAGCTGGTTTACAGCAGGTTTCAGGTAGGGTGACGTTGAAGTTCACCCACAGAGGGAAAAGGGGATGGGGTGTTAGCAGGTAAGGGATAGGGCCAGGATCCGTGCAGCCTTCTGATTTCAAATCTGGAGTTTATTCATTTGTTCAACAACCTTTGTTTGAACACCAGCTGATGCCAGGCACTGTGCTATATGCCTTCCTTGCCTGGTTTCTCCCCTCCCCTCCACCCCACCCCAATTCTTCTTTCTTATTTTGATAGCAGAGGAAACTGAAATTGACAGAGAGGTCAAGTAACTTGCCCAAAGGAGTGCGACAGCAGGATGCATGCCTAGCTAGCTCTGGCTGCCAAGTGTCCCCTCCTCACCAGGCTGTGCTGCCGGGGTCCCATGGAGCTCTCTGGGGTACTGGGTTCCATTGGTGGAGGGTGCTGAGGGCCTGCTTGGATGGGCTTGCAGTCTGAGCCTGGTGGTGTGCTGGGGGCGCTGAGTCAGGGTGGGAGTGGAGTCTGCTTGTGCTGTGGTGTGTGGCTTTGTGGAGCCACTGAGGTCAGTCACCTGGGGCTCGAGGGCCCCAGGGCATGGAGGGGATGGGTGAGGAGCTGCTGACTCTGCTGCCTGGCTCCGATGAACTCTGGCCACCCTCAGGTGCTTAGGCAGCTGATAATAGTGCTAAGGGATTAGAGGCTTTGGGAGGCCAGGACTGGGTTCCTGGTGGGGCCCCAGACACTGCTGGGCACAGTGCTCTGGCAGGCGGAGTACTCCAGAAGCTATACTTTGCCCCTACGAAAAGAGCTCAGGGACAGGCAGATCCTGTGGGCATCCAGAGACCAAATGCTGGCTCTTTCACTCTCCTCCCAGCAGTCCTGGAAGCTAAGTGTACTTTGGTGGAACATTCTGTCCCCCTTGCCACCCTTCTAGGTCTCTGTGTGGACTGGGCCCAGCTCTTGTAAGGCAGGAGCAGTCAGAAGGCCTGAATGGAAGGACCTGGCCTCAATGACCAAACCCCATCTGTGCCTCTGTAGGCCCCACTCCCTCAGGGTAACAGAGACTTGAGACCGTTCTCCACCTCTGAGAAGGACCAATGTGACCAGGGATTTGGGGCTCCTGTGGGGTCCCTTCAGCACCCCTAATCCAGGGCTTCCCCTCAGGACGAGTCCAGCTGCAGACAGGAGCGTCTCTGCAGATCGTCGGGCTCCGGGTGGAAGACCAGGGCTGGTACGAGTGCCGCGTGCTCTTCCTGGACCGGCACAGTCCGGAAGAGGACTTTGCCAACGGCTCCTGGGTGCATCTGACAGTCAATTGTACGAGGCTGGGGAGCAAGTGGTGGAGAAGGGAGGGTGGAGAATGATGGGGACCCTGGATGGTGGGAAAAGGGGAAGAGGAGTTCAGTTTCCATGCACGAGCTCCCGCGGTGCCCCACCCTTCCTGACACCCCTTGTTTGCTGACTTAGCGGTTGCATTTGCCCCTCCTTCAGTCCTGCCCTTTCAGTTCTTCAAATCAACCACCTATGCTCTGAGTCAGAAATGTCCTTGGCCAGGGTGATGGCTGGGGAGGTAGGGTTATTGGTCCATGTTTTCCAAACACCTTTTCCACATCGGACCCTATTAATCCTCAATCCATCTCACAGGTGAGACTGGCGAAGGAGCAGGTCCTGCTGCTGGGGTCTGATGACTGGCAGGGCAGTCTGGGGCCCAGGCCTGCCTGGCACCTAGCTCTCCTCCCGCTGTGCTTAGCACAGTGTGCACAGATAGGCTGGTGCAGTCCTGTCCTGGTCCCTGGTGGGACAGATAGGGTGACCCCGGGCTGCACTGCTAGGCAGAGGGGTGGAGCCCCGAATGCGGTCTGTCTCCCTGGCCCTTGGACGCTGCTCTTGGGGCACAGCCTCTGTGGCGGCCCCTGATGACTCTTTCCCCCCTTCAGCACCCCCTCAGTTCCAGGAGACACCTCCCCCGGTACTGGAAGTGAGGGAGCTGGAGCCAGTCACCCTGCGCTGTGTGGCCCGCGGCAACCCCCAGCCTCGCGTGACTTGGAAGCACTGGGGACAGGACCTTGGCCGGGGCCAGGGTCAGGTGCAAGTGAGTCCCACAGCTGGGCAGAGTGGACCACCTGGAGTGTGTGGGAAGGTGGGAACAAAGCTGGAATGTAGAGAGGAGCCCCGGGCCAGGCTGGAAGATGGGCCACCCACCAGGAAGAGCTTTCTATTGGCTTCCCAGGGGTCCGGCGTGTGAGCTCCCTCTGCTGCCCAGTCTTGGGAGTGCAATTCTGAGGCTGGCCCAGCGGAGAGGGACCACGGATTCTTTCTGTAGGTGCAGAACGGGACTCTGCGGATCCGACGGGTGGAGCGAGGCAGCTCTGGAGTCTACACCTGCCAAGCCTCCAGCACTGAGGGCAGCGCCACCCACGCCACCCAGCTTCTGGTGCTAGGTGCTCTTTGGCGGGAGGGCAGGGTGCCAGGGACACCTATGTGAGAGGTGGGGAGGCGTGCAGCAGGGTCAAGAGGAGGCTGATGTCTGAAGAAGGGGCATGTGCAGGGCTGGGCCGGGGTCGCACTGCTGCTCTGACTTGGAAAGGATCAGTAAGTAGTCAGATAGATACTTAGTGCCCCTTGGTGTGTTGCAGTGGGAGGGACCTGGGAGCTGGTGTGAGACCAGGCGCCATATGAGCCTTCTGAGCCCTGGTTTCCCATCTCCATGAAGATGTTCACATCTTCCTCCTAGGACTGTCCCAGGGTTCAGTCACATCCAGGGAAGTACAAGTGTGGCACACAGCCATTCCTAGCCTAGACTTGGCCCTCTAGAAGGAGAGCTGAGGAGTATGAAGCTCGAGTTGCCTCCACAGTGCCTGTTACCTGCATGGGGTGTGTGTGTGTGTGTGTGTGTGTGTGTCAGATAATCTGTGACCCTGTGGGCATTTGGTTTCCGTGGTATCCGGGGAAAGGGTGCACAGTAGTGGTTAAGGCATGGCCTCTGGGATCAGGAAGGCTGGGATCAGGATGGCTCCCCTGCAGAGCTGAGACAAGTCTCACCATCTCTCTGCCTTCGGATTTTCATCTAGAAAAGGGAGACAATTCCTACCATGTAGATTCTTGCGAGGATGCACAGGGATGAGCAGACAAAGTGTCAGGCACTGGGGGCTGGCCTGCAGTGGCCTCCCGTTGTCTCTTGTTACTGACTGCCCATGCAGTGGGGGCCCGGAGGAGACAGGGCAGCAGAGTTTCACAGTCAGAGACAGTTTTGTGGGAGGTATGTGGCTTGGCCAGCCCCTAGGGAAGGGGATTCCAAACCAGAGGTTTAGAGAGCAGAGGCATGGGGACAGGAGTGAGCTTGGTGTGGAGACAGCCAGCTGCCCACATTGACCTGAGGGAGCTCGTGAGGACTGATCTATGGACAGATGGGTGGTTGGGTGACAGGGCCCATGGTGCAGGGTCCAGAAGCGTATGATCCAGGAACTGCTGCAGGTGCTGTGGCCTTTCTGCATGAATGGCCTTTAGCATGGCAGCAACAAGGGAGCCTGAGTTCTGGGAAGGCTGGGCTGAGGCCACCTCTCTCCCCTTGGTTCCCTGCAGGACCCCCCATCATCGTGGTTCCCCCCAAGAACAGCACAGTCAATGCCTCCCAGGATGTTTCCTTGGCCTGCAGGGCTGAGGCGTACCCCACTAACCTCACCTACAGCTGGTTCCGGGATGGAATCAACGTCTTCCACATTAGGTAAGGTCACCCACACTTGGCCTGGTGGAGGAGGGGAACTGATGAACAGTCTCGGAAGAGCTCTTTGGCTGGGTGAGGCCTGGACGACCACTCATCACATTGCCATATTGCAGCCATCTGCAGTCCCGAGTGCGGATCCTGGTGGACGGGAGCTTGCGACTGCAGGCTGCCCAGCCGGATGATGCTGGCCGCTACACCTGTGTGCCCAGCAATGGCCTCCTGCACCCCCCCTCAGCCTCTGCCTACCTCACTGTGCTCTGTAAGTCAGACCCCAGTTCTTTCCACAGCCTGCTTCCCTCTCCTGGGCCAGGCCCTCTCCCTCAACTTGCCACTGGTTTTCCCCAGACCCAGCCCAGGTGACAGCAATGCCTCCTGAGACACCCCTGCCCATCGGCATGCAGGGGGTGATCCGGTGCCCTGTACGTGCCAACCCCCCACTCCTCTTTGTTACCTGGACCAAGGATGGCCAGGCCCTGCAGCTGGACAAGGTACAGATGTGGGGCAGGGGGTAGAAAGTGTCAGCCCAGTGTTATTCTGGCTGGAAGGCAGCTGGAATGGAGTTAGCTCATATAACTCATCTCTGAGTGGGATGACACACTTCCAGGTGATTTGTGTGGTGTTGGGTGGGAAGCAGCAGGAAAGAAGCCTCCATCCTTAAGAAAGACACCGCTTCCAAGGATGGAGTGCCTTCCTTTTAGGCCTGGTTGAGGGTAGATTAGTAGCAGATTCTGAGACTTTGGGAATGGCCTGGAAGGGTGGATGGTCATTCCACGCAGAAAGCAGGGGCCAGAGGGGGCACAATGTTGTCCATTTGTGGACTAATGAATTGGGCGGTTTGATGGGGCCGTGGTGCCTGATGGAACAGGAGTGGTACAGAGAAAGCTGAAAAGACAGGTTGGGGCCAAAGAAAAAGCAGCACATGCCAAGTTCATATTACCTCATTCCAAGGTAATTGGGATCTGCTGTTTGTCTGCAGAGATTATAAATTCCTTGAGGCTTAGCATTGCATCTTTTTAATCATAGTGTCCTCAGAACTTTTACAATAGTAGTTAGTACTCAATAAGTTTTTGTTGTTACGTTAGAAAAAAGTCTAAAGGCCGTGAAGCATCAGAACCGTGACCAAGCGCTGAGTTTGCCAGATGGATCAGCATAGGAGAAGGGTCACAAGGCTGTTGAAGTGGCCCAGGTGCCAGGGTTGAGAAGTCTGAGCTAAAGGATACAAACTCCTTGTGCTCAGACTGAAGGATGCCAGATTTGAAGTATTTAGGTAGGGGGAATGAGGAAGAGGGAAGGGTCACACATTGTCCAGGAGGACAGCGGAGGTCTTTACCTAGAAACAGGAGCTGGTATGAGGTGAAAGAGGCAGTTTAGCCATAGAGCACTAGGGAGCCAGCAGACAGGGAGCCTGGTGTGGCGCAGCTCCAGGATGCACTGTGCACCCAGGTCTGCCGGAGCTGGGCAGGTACAGTCTCACATCTAGGAGTAGCGGCCCTCTGTAGGAGAGACAGAGGGCTAGTGTTCCGACAGAGGCCAGCCTGGGTATGGAGCTGTGGAGTCCCCGGCCAGTGTGGTTGCTCGTACCGCCCCTCCATCCTGCCCTTGGCACTGCTGAACTCCTTTCTCTGGTTGTCTTCTCTTCTTCCCTCCAGTTCCCTGGCTGGTCACAGGGCACAGAGGGCTCACTGATCATCACCCTGGGGAATGAGGATGCCCTGGGAGAATACTCCTGCACCCCCTACAACAGTCTCGGCACTGCTGGGCCCTCCCCGGTGACGAGAGTGCTGCTCAAGGTGAGGCCCAGGTGGGCCAGGGGCCCACAGCAGCAGCAGGTCAGGTGGCTGAAGATGTGTGCTGAGACTGGCAGATGGGGTGCGGTGGGACCATCACGTGTGGGAGAGCCTCCCGGGTCTGGCTGCCATGGTGGCCACAGCGGCAGCTGTCTGATGTTAGCTCAGAGGCTTTGCAGAGATGCTGCCGGGGAGGCGGGACGTCCGCCGTACAATACATGCACAACATGAGGGGTCTGTCTGCTCCAACCGCCACCAAACTTAACCGTGCTGCTGCTGTCTCTGGGGCTTTGGAGAAGGAAGCAAAGGGCAGGGAGAGGGGGTAGAGATTTCTACATCTCCAGAGAGTCCTGGTCGGTCCACCAGTCTTCACCCATCCTGCCATTTCCCTCGGCCCCACCTGCTGGGGAGCAGACACATAGAGGTAGAGAGAAACAAGGAAAGGGGGGAAGAATGTGGTGGAGGCTGAGACATACAGTGTGATGGGCCTGGGAGCGTGAGCAAACCCAGCCTCATTCAGGTGGAGGAGAGCCTGTGAGAAAGGCAACTCCCAATGCAGATGTGGCCCGCAGGTTCCCCCCGCCTTTGTAGAACGGCCCAAGGAAGAATATTTCCAGGAAGTAGGGCGGGAGCTACTCATCCCCTGCTCCGCTCAAGGAGACCCTCCTCCTACTCTCTCTTGGGCCAAGGTAAGACTGACCGCCCTCCATCCAGATCCGTGCCCCCTGCATCCCGCCTCTGTGTCCTTGGCTTATTCACAGGAAGAGGATGTGGGAAGGAGTGGGGTGTCAGGAACAGGGTGGGGAGGAAGCAGGCCGCCCAGAGAGATGAGCAGCCCCCTTGGTGAGGGGTGGCTGCGTGTGTGCTCAGGGCTGACCAGGGCTTCTGCAGGTGGGCCGAGGGCTGCATGGCCGGGCCCAGGTGGACAGCAACAGCAGCCTCATCCTGCGACCACTGACCAAGGAGGCCCATGGGCGCTGGGAATGCAGTGCCAGCAATGCCGTAGCCCGAGTGGCCACTTCCACGAATATCTACGTGCTGGGTCAGTGGCTGGAGAGCATGCCAGGGCCAGGGAAAACTACGTGGGATGGGACATAGGGAAATCATTTTCTGAGGCCCAGCTGGCAGAGTGTGGGTGTGGGACCCCTGGGATGATGGGTGGCCCCTTCTCCCCGAACCCTAGTCTTCACCCTCCCTCAGGGCCCTGACTGTCATCCTCCCCTCCATCCCCTACCCAGGCACCAGCCCCCATGCTGTCACCAATGTGTCCGTGGTGCCTTTGCCCAAGGGTGCCAATGTCTCCTGGGAGCCTGGCTTTGATGGTGGCTATCTGCAGAGATTCAGTGTCTGGTACAGCCCACTGTGAGTGACCTGTGCCTGTCTTCACCCTGAGTCCGTCTAGCCCTCTGCCCTTTCTCCCGGCTCTCATTCCCACCTGTGTCCCAGCCCTGCGGCCATTTCCAGAGACTCATAGGTGTTCAGGTTCCCAGTACTGCAACCTTGGATGGCTGGGTGAGGAGGGGAGGTTATCTCTGGACTCCAGGCCTTCTCAGTCTTCTGAGCTCATGAGATGTCCCCCACTTCCCCTGTGCCCTAGGGCCAAGCGTCCTGACCGAGCCCACCATGACTGGGTATCCCTGGCAGTGCCTGTGGGGGCTTCGTACCTCCTTGTGCCAGGGCTGCAGCCCCACACACAGTACCAGTTCAGCGTCCTGGCTCAGAACAAGCTGGGGAGTGGTCCCTTTAGCGAGATCATCTTGGCCGCCCCAGAAGGTGAGAGACCTTGTGCCACAGGGCAGCAGAGACGAGGATGAGGACGGCCTGTTAGGGAAATCTGTGACCTGGAGGGACGAGGGGGCAGAGATGCTGGGCAGAGGAAGGGTCCCTGCTGACCATCTCAGCACTGGGGGGCTGTGGAAGACCAGGGCAGGAGCAAGATGAGGAGTGCTGGGAACTCTTATCTCTGACTGGGCTGTGTGTCCCATCCAGCACTTGCTACCACACCAGCTGCACCCAGACTTCCACCGACAGAAGCACTACCTCACCTGTCCCCTCCTCGGGGTCTGGTGGCAGTGAGAACATCCCGGGGGATACTCTTGCACTGGGATCCCCCAGAGCTGGTCCCTAAGAGACTGGATGGCTACATTCTGGAAGGACGGCAAGGCTCCCAGGGCTGGGAGGTGCTGGACCGAGCTGTGGCCGGCACAGAAATGCAGCTGTTGGTGCCAGGCCTCATTAAGGTGTGTGCGGGCGGGTGTGGGGGGGACTGGCTCTCCAGTGACGGGCTCCACTCCCCGGGCCCTGTCTTCTCTTCTTGATTTGACTGTATTCACCTCCCTGTCCTATGTCGCCCACACCTCCCACCTGCAGTCTTGGGGAGTGGGGCCAGGGTCGGCAGTGCTGGGCCCTGACCCCCTTCCTGCCCCCCTCCCCCAGGATGTTCTCTACGAGTTCCGCCTGGTTGCTGTTGCTGGGAGCTATGTCAGCCATCCCAGCAACACGGCCAACATCTCCACTTCAGGTGAGAACGTGCTGGGACTGAAGGGCACTGGGGCTTGTCTTTGCGGGACTCCGAGCCCACTGATGCTTCTTCTGCTTCCCTCGTCCAGGCCTGGAGGTCTACCCGTCTCGCACACAGCTGCCGGGCCTGCTGCCTCAGCCCGTGCTGGCTGGCGTGGTGGGCGGCGTCTGTTTCCTGGGTGTGGCCGTCCTCGTGAGCATCCTGGCCGCCTGCCTCATGAACAGGCGCAGGGCTGCCCGCCGCCGACGCAAGCGCCTCCGCCAGGGTGGGCTCCTGCACCTTTGTCCCTGGCGTCCCTCCACCCTCACTTCTGGCTTCCTACCTGGGGGGAAAAGCCCTTCCTTGCATGGAGTCCAGGGTCACCTGGTCTTTCCTACCCTTTTCCCAGCCCAGCGGGGAAGGGGCTGGGTGTCCAGCACTGGTGGGCAGTGGAAAGCTTAGCTTTTGCCTGGGTCACCTGTTCTCGTGCCCTTACAGATCCACCTCTGATCTTCTCCCCACCCAGGAAGCCTGCCCCACAGTAAGTCCCGTTGTACTCTCCTGTAGCCTCTGGTTCCCCTTCTGCACTTTTGGGAGGGCCAGAACAGAAGCTGGAGGGGGTGAGTGCGGGAGTACAGAGGCCCAGCCTGGGCACGGGCCAAGCGTTGCCTGTGCCTTCCCTCCACCCTGCCACCATGTTGCTCCTCTCCTCACTTGCTCTCCCTAGCTCTGCTCTCTTGTGCACCAAAGCTCTCCAGGACAGACCCTGATCTCCTGTCCTTCCCCAGCTCTGCGCCGGGCTCCGGCAGCCCTGACAGCGTGGTCAAGCTGAAACTCCAGGGCTCCCCAGTCCCCAGCCTGCGCCAGAGTCTGCTATGGGGGGAACCTGTTCGTCCCCCCAGCCCCCATCCAGATCCTCCATCTAGCCGGGGACCCTTACCCCTGGAGCCTATTTGCCGAGGCCCAGATGGGCGCTTTGTGATGGGGCCCACCGTGGGGTCCCCCCAAGAAAGGTCAAGCCTGGAGCAGATGGAACTTTGGACCCCTTCCCAGCGTCTGGCCCAGTCCGTTGACTGTAGCAGCAGCAGCCCCAGTGGGGCACCCCAGCCCCTCTGCATTTCGGACATCAGCCCTGTGGGGCCCCCTCCAGCAGCGCCACCTAATCTCCTACCAGGTCCTGGACCCCTGCTCCAGTATCTGAGCCTACCCTTCTTCCGGGAGATGAATGTGGATGGGGACTGGCCCCCTCTCGAGGAGCCCAGCTCTGCTCAACCCCCAGATTACATGGATACCAGGCCCTGCCCCAAGTCATCTTTCCTTGGCCCCCCGGACTCCCCACCTGTGTCCCCTAGGGCAGTACTTCCTAGGGCTGTGGCCACCCCAGAATCACCTTACACAGTGCTGGCTGACTGGACACTGAGGGAGCGGCTGCTGCCAGGCCTCCTTCCCGGCGCCCCCCGGGGCAGCCTCACGAGCCAGAGCAGTGGGCGGGGCAGTGCTTCCTTCCTGCGGCCCCCCTCCACAGCCCCCTCTGCAGTGGGCAGCTACCTCAGCCCGGCACCAGCACCGGGAGACACCAGCAGTTGGGCCAGTGGCCCTGAGAGGTGGCCCCGGAGGGAGCATGTGGTCACAGTCAGCAAGAGGTGAGCACAGTCGCTGCCAATCCTTGCCCTCATCCAGGCCCTTCACTGTTGCCTCAGATCTTCTCCCCCGCAAACACCCCACACTCCTATCCTGAGACCTAGAGACCCTGTCTTCTTTTAGCAGCTTTTGCCAAGGTGCAGGGATTTTCAAGGGAACCCTATGGCGCAGTCTGAGTTTGAGGACCCCAGGTTCAGACTTTTCTGGATGCTGTCTGTCCCTGAATTCACACTGCGTGCTGGTCGCTTTTCACAGGAGGAACACATCTGTGGATGAGAACTATGAATGGGACTCAGAATTCCCTGGGGACCTGGAATTGCTGGAGAATCTGCACCTGGGGTTGGTGAGCTCTCGGATCCGAACTGAAGCTGAGCCAGAGTTAGGTGTGTGGAGCCTCCGGAAAGGCAGGCACTCATGGCTGTGCTGTCCCATGTACCCCCTGCCACCTGAGGACCAGCCTGTGCCAACGGGCCCTGTGCTAGGCTCCTCTACTAGGGCCCATGCCTGACTCCTTTGTTCATCTGCACCCAACGGGCCTTTGGATCTTCCAGTCTGAGTGTCAAGGCCCCTCTGCTCATTGTCCTGCCTTTCTCATGCAGGTGCGAAGACTCCAGAGGAGGGCTACCTCCTGAACACTGTCCATCCTCCTGGCCCGGAGGCCCGCTGTGCTGCACTTCGGGAGGAATTCTTGGCCTTCCGCCGCCGGCGCGATGCTACCCGGGCCCGGCTACCAGCCTATCGACAGCCAGTCCTCCATCCTGAGCAGGCCACACTGCTGTGAATGGCCCTAATGTGAGGCTGGGTGGACCTGCACAAGGCCTATGGACCTGTAAAGGAGCCTAGCTGCAACCTCAGGCACTGCCCCCGTCCCTTGGTGCTTGGGGACAGACCCTGATGGTGGGCTTGGTATTGGATGATGTATGCAGGAGAGTCTGGAGTCTGAGAATTGGAACAGGGATCTTTGTCTGCCCCTGTGCGTGCGTGTGTGTGTGTGTGTGTGTGTGTGTGTGTGTGTGTGTGGTGTTTGTGGTGTGAATGAAGTTTTTTACAGGTAAATAAAGTCTGAAAAATATTCCTGTGTATCTAGCTTTGAAATTGAGAGAAGTGGGAAGATCCTTCTACCCCTTTTTTTTTCTTTTTTTGGTACTGGGGTTTGAACTTGGAACCTTGTGCTTGCCAGGGCAGGCGGCAGAACCACTGAGCTAAATCCCTGGCCCCCCTGTACCCTTAAAGAAGAGAACTTTCCTAAACAAATGGGGGTGCTTACAACGGTCATTCCCAAAGCACTTACTGAGAGCCTACTGCACCCAGCTACTAAAGACCAGCCGTTAAGCTAGAAGCCATGAGAAAATACAAAGTTCACCAAGACATGACTTTGTGCTTGGGGAGTTTTTTCTAGCCAGTGAGGCAGGGAAGTAAAGGAATAGTTATAGTATGATGTGATAAGTTCCTAGATAAAGCTATGTGTGGGTTATTGTGGTAACACAAAGGAAAGAGTTCATTTGGAGCCAACATTTGGTCAAAGTTTACAGTGTGTTCTGGGGAAAATGCTACCTACATATGGGGCATCTTTGGGATCCCTCCCAGAAGGTGGTGATAATATGATAGGAGCATTCACATTTGCTAGGCACTGCAATAAGCTCTTTCCATATCCTGTTTAATTCTCTGCAGCTCTGAATTTTGGTGATATTGTTGGCTTCTTTGTAGACAGGAAGTGAATCATAGAGTGCTTTAGTAATTTGCCCCAAAGTCACAAAATGGGGAAGGGCTAGAGTAGGTAAGATGACAGTCAAGGATGGAAAGGCACCCCAAGCAGGTAACTGGGCCTGGAGGCCTGGTGGTACAGGCCTGTAATCCCAGCACTCAGGCTGAGGCTGGAGGGTCCCAAGCTTGAGCCCATCCTGGGGAACTTAGTGAGACCCTGTCTCAAAATTAAAAATAAAAACAAGGGCTGGGGATATAGCTCAGTGCAGGTTCAATCCTCAGTACCACCAGAAAGAAAGAAAAGCACATCAGGGAGAGGAACAGCCTTTCTAATGGCGTAGTGGGAACACTTGACGCTCCATAGGTCTGAGCAGCATAGGGAGGGGACAGACTGGAAAGCTGAGAGGATGCTGCTTGTTGATGTCTATCAGGCTCAACAGGGCCCTCTACCGTGGTGAAGAACCCCAGTGATGATGGTAAGCGGGGCCCTTCCCAGGAACGCTGCTCAACCAAAGCCTGAAGGGGAGGGAGGTGGCAGGTCAGAGAGATGCATGGCAAGAGAAGTCAGACCTGAACCTAGAGTCCCAACACTGACCACGCCCTTTGCACCCCGGGCAAGACAAGCAATGACCTCACTGTTAGTTTCTGCCCAGGCTTGAAGGCCATGGCGAGCAAGACCACATGAGGGTGCTGTTCTGGCCTGCCAGCCTCAGACCTGTCGCACCCTACTCAATTAAGGTAGGGTTTCCCTGTGCCTCCATTTACCTGGCTAGTCTTTAATCAGGAGGCTTCTTCCCACATAGGCCCACAGTCTTGAGCTCATCTAGGACACAAGCCTATGGGCGCCTGGGTGAGGCTGAGGTTCGCATGTGGGGAAACCACTGCAGCTGCACCCTAGACCCCACAGGTGCTTTTACCCTCGTCCTCACTTAACACTCCTCCTTGTCCGCTGCGGCTCCTTTAAACCCGCACGGCCCTTGCCCCGCCCCTGGCCCGCCCCGTCTGAGGCGGGACCCTCCTGAAAACCCCTGGCCCGCCCGACCCGAGCGCAACACGCCAGCTGCAGCCCCTGTGGTGCACGCGCAGTATCCAGCCTGCCCTGACGGTGAGCGGGACGCGGGGGTCTAGGGAGGGGGAGGATTGCACGGTCTACAGAAAGCAAGAAGCTAGCGCTCCAGACTTGCTCTGGCGAGCTGGGGGATCCAGAGCTGGCGCCAGCAAAGTCCGATGACCGCTCTGCTCCGCCCCGTGCTGTCAGGTCCTGTCCCCAAGCCCTGACCCGGCATTGCTGGGCGATGAGGTCAGGCGAGGTTTGCCGGTGCACCGACGGGGCGCCCGTGCGGAGTTGGGCTCCGTGCCGCCCCTCCCGCCGGCCTCAGCGCGTGTCCGCATAGTGGAGGGAAAGAAAGGCGTGAGGCGTCGGCTGTGCCGCCCCAGTGCTGCGCGGCCCCAGTGCGGGGCGCCTGGGTCCGCTTCCGCGCTCCTTCACTTCCTGGTTCCAGAAGCACGTGTGGGCACCGCCTGCCCTCTGCGCCCTCGAAGGCGCCCTTTCTGTACTTGCTTGTGCTCCCTCGCTGTTCTGGGGACTCGGTCACGGGCTGGGCCCAGGGGACTCCGCGCGTGGGTCCCGCGGCGGCCTGGCCTTCTGTGAAGCTCCCCGGAGACAGCCCCCTCCCCCGGACCTCAGGCATCTGGTGGCCCTGGTGCGCCCCACCTGGGTGAGAAGGGGGATGGCTGGCTTCCAGGCCTGCCCGCTCCGGCTCGCGCCCCACCGCCCCCTCCCGTGCCCCCTGCTGCTGGGAAAGCCGGCGGTGGCCGCGGGCGGCGGGCGGGCTGCCCAGACCACTGCGTCACCCCAGTGGCGGGCGGCCGTGGGTGACTCATCCGCTAACGGCCCAGGGTGTGGCCGAGGGGGGGGGCAGGGGCTGGACCTGCAGGGCCGGAAGCGCAAGGCCGCCTTCCTGGCTTTCGAGTCTCCGGAGGCCGGTACCGGAGAGGTCCGGGGACATTAGGTGTCTGTGGGGATGGCATGTGGAGGTGCGTGTAGGAAGGGAAACCCACTGGTGTGGACAGGCTTTACTCTGTTCTCTGGGACTCCCGAGTACCCGTCAGGGGCAGCACCGGACCGCCACTCCCTTCCCAGTCTCTAATTCCCGCTGCACAGGGCCGACCTAAACAGCAGAGGAGGTCAAGGTAGAGCGGGCGAGCCAGGCGCTACCATTCCCGGAGCAGCAGTCATTCTTTGTCCACTGGATCTGCTTTCCTGGACCCATGCCCTTGCCCACTGGGGTTGGCCTCTAATCCTTCACTCTGTCCTTTCAAGCTCCAGGAATTTCAGGTGTGGGATCTCTAGCTCAGAATACACCCTGCCTTCCCGGTGAAGTTCATCTCAACTGCTTCCTTGCGTCTACTTCTCTCAGCCCAAACCGGTGACCACCCACCTCCTCCACTTGCTCTTCAAACCTTCACCCCGATGGCTGCTTCCTCCAGGGTCTCCTTCCCCTGGATCTCCAAAAGGATTGCTGTGAGGACCCCTCTGTGCCCCGTGCTCAGAGCTTCCTGGGGGATGGGGAAGGGCGTGTGGCTCTGGTGTCTGCCTGGTGCCCCCACCCTGCCTCCATTCCTGTGTTTGGTACACAGAAGCCATGGCGACGGCTCCCCCCTCCTCCCTTCCTCCCAAGCAAGCCTGGTAGCTTCCTGTTTGTGTAGCTTCAGTTTACTCTTCTGCTCCGGACTCTCGGTGGTGAGGGGATGTCCCCTGTGGGGAGGGGGGTCTGCCCTAAGGCCACCCCTTAATCACAGTTCTGCTGTCCCTGCTTCTGCCTGCCCCTTGTGCTGCCCTTCCCTAGTCCCAGCCTCAAATCCCTGTCTCCCAGCTGCACGGTGAATGGAGAGTCCCCTTGTCTTCTCGTTAAACATTCCAGCCAACACCCTTGAATCCCCCTACTGACGCTGGGTATTCCACGTGGAATTGCTCGGCCCAGGGTCTGGGGTGGGGCCGAGGGCCCGAGTGCTTTTCCTGGCCCCTCCTTTCTCAGCTACTATCACCTCGTGGGTGGGGGTGGGGGTCATCCCACAGCTGCAGTCCGCGCTTAGAGTTTAGATTGCTCTCTGCCAACCCTCCCCGAAAGTTGTTCAGCTGTTGGCTTCCCTTGGGATCCCCGGCCTGGGGCGTCTCCTCACCTGTGTTGAGCTGGATGTACCACTTTTCTCCTGACCTGTAGGAGGATGGCTGTTTTCCCTTTCTTTGGGGAGGCCAGGGGAAGGTCACCTGGCTGGGCTTCCCCAGCTGCAACAGCCAGAGTCCATCAGTGGCTGCCTGCCTGGGGGTGGGGAGGAGAGACAGCTGCTGCACCCTGCTGGCCTGCCCCTCCCCAGAGCCCCACCCTGTGGCTCTCTGGACCTCAGGGCTCTAGAGCAGTGGGCCCAGAGTGGAATAGAGACACTACAGCTGGAGGCCTAACCCTGCCAACTATGCCCTGGCTGCGGAGTCCCTGGGGAGGGGCCCTTAGCATCCAGGCTCCACCCCAGGTGGTTCTGGGAGGGGAGACACTGGACAGTCTGACTTTAGGCCCTTCTCCCTCCTCTTTTTTTTTGATACCGGGGATCGAACTCAGGACCTTGTGGTTGTGAGGCAAGCATGGTGCCACTGAGCTAAATCCCCAGCCCTTCTCCGCCCTTCTTAACCCTGGCGTCTGTTAATCATCTTCTGCCCTTTCTTTACCTGTGCCATGGTGACCCCTGGGCCTTGGCTCCCTGGAAGCCGCCTTGAGGTCCAGGTGGCCATAGCAAAGCTGGCCCCAGAGGAGTCTGAAAATAGACTGGGGAAGGGGGGCTTGCTGATGATAGCAGCCTTAGCCCCTCTTCCTACCCGGGGCTTCCGGCCATTCCACTGTGGTCAGAGGTTACAGGCTTTCATAGACTGAGCGGCGGCTGAGCAGCTGGGCCCGGGCAGGGGGAAGCTTGCCCCCCTTTCTCTTCAGCCTCTCCACCCGCCTGTCCCCCCAGCGATTGGTGTGGCTGGTGTGTGGCTCAGGACCCGTACTGACATTTATCTGGCCTGGCTTTTAGGCTAGGGGAAATGTGGGGGGTTGGTTCTTAATGAGGTTTAAAAATAACTGATTTATGGGGAAGATGTCTGCGGGAAGTATGTGCAGCTCGATAAGCTACTTTACAGAGGAGGAGCTGTGTTGGAGCAAGGAGGAGGGGACTGACCAGAGACACAACAGCTGAGGCTGAGAGGGGCAGTGGCCTGAGTCCTTTGGGCCGGGCCGAGCACCCCCCACTGAGGGGTGGCAGGATTGTTTAACCTGGGTGCTTGGGAGAGGGAGCCAGAATGACTTCATCCCTTAAGTCTGATCTGGCCTG